GGATGAGAACGGATAGATTGAGAAGATAAGTGAGTGAATGATAAGATTTCTTCAAGCTTGTTCCCCGCCCTTCAGCTCAAAAAAAAAGAAAAAAAATGCCCGCCTAGTTATTAAGTGATAAAGTGGTGTTATAATATAATATAATGATATAGTTGTTCTAGATTAAATTTTTAGTTAGGACAAAAATAATATTTAATCTAGCTAACAAGCTCAAACTTTCACATACCAATTATAACACATTTTTATTAAAATTAATTGACAAATATAAATAGTACGTAATAGTAGGCCTGTCAATTGTGTCGAGTAAGACGAGTTCATATCGAGTCTTAACGAGTTTGTGTCTTAAAATATAATCCATGCATAACCACTTCATTTATTAATTCGTGTTTAACGAAATGTGACATATCGAGTTTGTTTATTATATAAATCGTGTATAATCGAAATATAACCGAGTCATATTATATATTTTTTTTGATTGACTTCACTCATACCCGATTTGGTTTGTAATCATGTCATGTCCACAAGTTTACGAAATTGATGACTTAAGAAAGGTTTAAACCATTTAATTTCGTATTGTGTTCATGTCATATATAATAGATCGTGTCATATTTTGACACCCAACATACGAGATGACAAATTTGGATTAATTTATGATACTTTAGTACAAGTGCACAGTTGATTATCCAGCTGATAAGCATATCCGATTTAGACCAAACCAATTAGAATACAAATCCAATTGAAAAACCTGATTCCATTACCTGGTGTATTTCATTTTCAATGTCTATATATGTAATCTTAAAAATTGAAATTTAGTTAAATTAATTGCATATTAATACTCGGATTCAGTTTAATCAATTATAATGGGTTCAAATTATTTGAACAAATTAGGTTTCAATATATCAAAATTTGAATCTATCCTAAGCATTATAAATGATTCGTATTCTAATTCAACTAGTCTAAAATAACTTCAATCTATATTCAATTAACTAAATGTGAATTCGTATATAGTTTTGTATTCAGGTTAAATATGGATCTCAATTCGATTTATTTATAAGCCTAATTTATTTGCATCCTTAGTTTAAGTACATGGATGGTCAAAGTCCATACAATAATGTTGATGATGCTAGAAATTGTCCTCCAAGCATCAAAAAGGGATAGTGGATGTGAGTTGGTTTAAGTTTTGAACTGGCGGTGTTAAGAGTTTTCAATTCATCAGTTTTGGTCAAAATTGACCAATTATCTGATTTTTCAACAATTTGATTATACCAGCGATCTTTTTAGCGATCCATACCGCTGAAGGACCCGGTTCACCAATCTGACCAGGCGGCCCAGTCCGATTCTAATAACAGTGATTAACACTGTTACAAGTGACAAACATAAATTTGTCACTAATAACTCATAGTTCATAAATATCAGTGAGAAAATAATTATTGACAAAGATATATTTATCACTAGTACCTCATTGGTTTATGTAAAAATTGACGTGTGGTTAGATTGCCACTAAATAATTGGTGTTAGATTGATTATTTAGTGACAATGTTAAAATCTTGTTGGTAAAATGCTTTCCTCCAACACATTTTAGCACTAAAAAATTTTCATCTCAAAATTAATGATAAAATTGTAAGTGATAAGTTCGAATTCATCACTAATAGCACCTTGATTCATACCAAATAGTGACTCATAAATAGTTGGGCTTAGATTGTTTATATAGCGACAACGTTAAAATAATTGCCGCTTAAATCCTTCCCTCCAATATATTTTTGCGCCAAAAAATTCTCGCCCCCAAATTAGTGATCAGATTATTAACAACACTTTAAATTTTTTCACAAATACCACCTTGGTTCATAAAAATAGTGACTAGTGGATAAGTCGTGACTAAAGAGCTATCATTGGATTTATTTTTTAGTGACGACATTAAATTAATTGCCACTAAAGTACTTCCCTCCATTTTTTTTGGTGCCAAATATCTCCCGCCTCAAATATTAGTGACAATGTTTAAGTGACAATGTTTTTAGCTTGTTACTAAATATTTTGGATTAGTAGCCAATATTTATTTTCGCCACTAAACATTAAATTTTAGTGAAGATATAAGTTTCGTCACCAATACATTTGCCACTAATAAGCTTATTTCTGTTAGTACTAGTAAAAAGGGCTCTATACTTATCTTTTGGAATTTGAATTTTCATTGCAATTGTGAAATGTGTTTCTACTAGAGTCTATAATGACATGTTAAAATGTTTTTGTAAAGAAGTGTAGGAATATTATAAGATGAATGTGGGCTAAGCAACATCTGGGAATTGTACTTGTGTCTGATCTGGAATTCTTAAGATTCATATTGTCTATATCTGATGTCGGAATGTGTATAAATAAAAAATAATATGTATGGACAGGTGGTATGCAATATATATCATTAGAACAAAAAGTAATGATTAAAAATCGAGGAAAGGATAGGTTGGTGCAACTAATTAAAGTATAGTGAGGTGAAGTTATTTCAAAAAAAAAAAAAAAGAATAGTAAAGGTGAGTAATGGGGATATGTTGTGTGTAATAGCAATGTTTGAATGTTGTGAATATTAACTAAATAAAGTGTGACTTTGTGGATAAGATTGTAAGCACAATATAGGTGAATATGTAGTCATGACTCCGGGGTAGAATATCGAAGGTAAATACGTAGTTGTGATGTCGGGACAACGCACCGACAATAGAAGTTGGTTGGGACAATGGAAAAAAAAATCTTGTTCTTGATTTGGAATAAGGAGGGTGCAAATGACTATATTTAAGTGTTTTAATGTGAGATGTATGATTTATTTTCATACTTGGGAATTCTTTGGTAATTAGTTATACTTGAAATATGACAGATTTGTCTTATGTTTGATGATTTTGAATGGAGGGTGAGTTATTAAGTCTTGTTTGTGGGATGACTTGTTGTATGTGCGTTTTGTGTGAATTNCTAATTATTTATACTTGAAATATGACAGATTTGTCTTATGTTTGATGATTTTGAATGGAGGGTGAGTTATTAAGTCTTGTTTGTGGGATGACTTGTTGTATGTGCGTTTTGTGTGAATTATTAAGGATAATATAATTTTTGTCATAATTTATCACACTTTTAACTGTGATCTGTGATATTGAAAGGATGTGAGATATAGTATCCAAAAACTACTCAATGAATAGATTACTGTGCTGACATGTTGTTAATTGAAGCGAGTACGTGAACTTTATGATTCATAGTGCAGAAAAGGTAATGTAAACTTAACCAAAATCATTTGTACGGGGAAGTAAATACGAATGATTTTGATTATCATCTCAAATGTCTAAGTAGTATTTAGACTTTGATGTAAAATAGTTATCAAAATATTGAGTAATTGTTTTGGGATTGGATTATGGTTGTGGTTCACTTGAGTTCAGTAATATAAGTTATGTTAGCAAAGTATATATTGATATTAGTGTGGTAATTAAGTTTCGAGGATGAAATTTCTTAACAGGGAAAGAGTTGTGAGACCCAAGCACGCGTACCATGGTATTTCATAAACATTATGGGTGAAAGTGTAATTTGTTAATATTTACATGGGAATAAAATTATGTGAATTAAATGTTGGGTGGTGTTAGAAATGAGGTTGGGTGGAAGAAAATGGAGTTTGAACCAAGTTCTAGAATTAGGAATAGGGTTGTTCAACTGATTGAACAGAGTACTACTTGCACATCAACCGGTTGAAGCATGTGTTAAACCAATTGATCAAAGTCCTGGAAGGGTTTCAATCGGTTGAAGGGTAATGACCAACCGATTCATCAATGTCAATCTTGACAAATTTGTTGTGATGTTCTGGACTATTATGTAATTGATCTAAAACCTTATCAAGGTACTTAAAAGATCTTAAATAAGTTTCTTATGGGTTTAATGGCTTACAATTACATGGAATGAGGATTCAAACTAGAATTGAAGTGAGTAAGTGGGTAAAAGATAAGTAACGTTTAGGGGGGTGGTAAGGGTGCACCATTTGGAAGGAAATTTAGGAATATGCTAACACGAGCATAAATATATAGCTATATATGCATAGTTAAGATGAAATGCATATGTGGAATGTATTTATATGTTGTAATTATAATGCATGTGTGGTAGAAATAGAGGTGCCAACTCCTACAACATGAATGTTTAAGATTTTATCCGAGGGCGGGAATTATGAGACACCTGGACATGAGGTGGGTGTATTTCTTGCGTGTGCACAAGATTAGTTTAAATGTACTTTATATATATATATATATAGATATATATATATAGATAGATAGATAGATAGATAGATATGTTATGGATTGTGTAATGAGGTGATTTATTGCTTGTGACTGCTACTGTAAATAAGTTCTATCATATTCTTGACATGGTTGAAGACCATTAAGTGAGATGATATGTAATGGGGTGAATAAACTTGTAAATGCGAGACGAATAATTTGCTGAATGATGGTGCCTTAAAAGGTTGTGTTGTTTTTCGTTAATAAATAGTTGTGTAGTTTGTCTTTTTGGTCACACCAAACCCCCCATGCGCACAAGCCCTTCCCCTGTCCTCTTTATTGCAAAACAATTTCCAAATAGATGCTTTCACAAAACCTGTCTGCTATATAAAATATAATCATTTTATATAGTCACTTAGTCTGACAGACTAAGCAATAAGCACAAAAAAATAACAAAAACAAAATATAAAACAGAATCCAAACAATCTCAACTCGAACACAACCTAATGTGCTATTTTATTTGTTGGTACTATTGCTAAATCTGCACCATTCCCCATTCACGTATGGTCAACTGATGCTATTGAAGAATTGGCCAACAAAATAACAATTGGAATAAAGATGATACTTTCCACTGGAGGGATTATTTTGTGTGAAATGCTGTAGTTTTCCAACGCATCCTCAATATTTCAAAATCTACCTTAAATATCAACAAGTTGCAGTTGTTCTCGAAACAAAAATCATCCAACATCTATTAACTATAAAATTTATTCAATTCTAACGTCCCACATAAAGGAGTGATTCTGTACCAGATAGGGCACTAGAAGAAATATTCTCCGACGATGATGAAGGAAATGTCATTGCAAATTCATTTGACATTTCATTCCCAACTAATGCAGCCATGCCAACACCTGCGGCATCCATAAATACTTCCGGCAAGATGGCATCTCCATCCAAATATTGCATCACTTGCCTCATGCTAGGCCTGGATACTGGATTATTTTGTGAGCAAAAAAGGCTCAGCTGCAAAACCAACTCCATTTCTTCCATCGCAAAATCACCTCCCAATCTGGGATCACTTGCCTCAAGGATTGCTCCTCCTTGCCATTTCTCCAGAACCCACTGAACCAGAATTGTATAATCAAATCCCTGTACCTTTATAGGCCTTTGTCCGCAAGCCCCTTCGAGCATAAAAACCTCGAAAGCAAAGACATCCGTACTAGTAGTTGCCTTATCAGTTATAGCAAGCTCTGGTGCAATATACCCATAAGTTCCAACCACATGGGTTGTTTTAGGATTTTCACCATGATCATATAATCTAGCAAGCCCAAAATCTCCCAACCGCCCATTAAAATCAACATCGAGTAGGACATTACTGGCCTTTACATCTCTGTGAAGAACAACTTTTTCCCACCCTTCATGCAACTACAAAAGGCCTGATGCTATTCCTCTGAGGATTTGAAATCGTTGGGCCCAGTTCAGGCTTGGTTTCTCATTGCTGTGCAACAACTTGTCAAGACTTCCATGGGGCATATAATCATAGACCAAGAGAAGGTCCCCTTTTCTCCGGCAGTAGCCGAGGAGAGCCACCAAGTTCCTGTGCCTGAGCCTTCCCATGCTGGCTATTTCAGCCACAAATTCCCTCATCCCCTGATTTGAGTCATGGGAGACTCTCTTCACTGCGACTTGAGCATTGGAAGAAGACAGTATTCCTCTAAAAACCTGTCCAAAACCTCCTGTTCCTAGAAGCTCTCTGTGGTTGAACCCTTTGGTTGCTTTGTAAAGATCCNATTCCCTCATCCCCTGATTTGAGTCATGGGAGACTCTCTTCACTGCGACTTGAGCATTGGAAGAAGGCAGTGTTCCTCTAAAAACCTGTCCAAAACCTCCTGTTCCTAGAAGCTCTCTGTGGTTGAACCCTTTGGTTGCTTTGTAAAGATCCTTATAGAAGAATCTCTGAGGTCCATATTCCACTTCCCAATCCTCTCGTATTTCTGCATATTTTCTTCTCTGTTTTATGTAAGCAATCCCACCCATTGTGATGATCAGCACTGCCAGAACTGTTGTGGCTGAGATTGTAACATCTCGATATAATTTTCTTTTGGATTTTCTGGGTCAGGGAACTGAAGGAAGTTTTGATAGTTCAAGGCTTTGTGCTGGCCCAGTTTTGTTGAAGCTCCATCCCAGAATGTAGTGGTTGCTTATCGCAAGGGTTCCTGTAGCTGCAGAGAAACCAACATACATATGGTCCAAGAAAACTGGAGAAAGATCAATGGACACATTCAAGAGAGGGTGATTTGGTTTCGCGATTCTGATGGGAGCCAATGTAACGATGATAATCTTCTTCACTCNGATTCTGATGGGAGCCAGTGGTAACGGTGATTTGGTTTCGCGATTCTAAGATTGAAGCTCTTTTTGATGCCATCTGTATTGGAAAAATATGACGCTGAAGCCGATGCAACTGATTTGATGCTGTTCACATCAATTCCCACATGATTGCCGTCTATATCTGCAAAATTTGGGTCCTTGATAGTATCAAACTCAACAGCAAGTAAATGGTTGGAGGTGAGTCCGTGGTTTGAAGAATTGAAAAGGCCTATAAACTAGCAGCGTTGTGGAGGACATATGATAGGAGAGGAGTTAGAAATGGATGAGATTTTGAAATTGACTTTATCAATTATAATTTTTATTATAGAAAAATCATTTTTAACTATAACAATTATTATGAAAAAAATATATAAAAATTATAAAAACTTGATTATGTAACCAAATGAGTGATAATATAATGACTAATATTATAACAAAGTTATAATACGACGTTTTAAAATAAATAATTCATTAGGATAATATGATGATTAAAATTACATTTGTTGGTTGGCCAACGCATATATAATGAGAAAAAAATTGATGACATTTTAGTCTATTTACATAATAAAGAGTAATTTTAGTATTTTCATAAAATATTTAGTTAAATCATTATTTTATGTACTGATAGAGACAAAAGTTATTGTTATAGGGGTTGTCATTTAATTTAGACTCAACTATATAATGTTTAGATGAAACATTCCCTAAAATATAACATGTAAATATAGTATGTCTTTGATATGTGTACTATATATATGTACAATAAATATGTGTGTGTGATATGAACAGTAAAGATGGAGAGCTGCATTAGGATAGAATTTTGGGGAGACATGTGTCTTAGTTTGGAAAGAGAATCATGAAATATGAGAGTGTGAGGGATAATCAATGTCTCAGTATAGAAAGTGATCCCTTAACATAAGAAATAAAATAAGGAAAATAATGATTAGAGTTGTAATCTATATTTTAGGGAGAAAGAGATAGAGTTGAGAAATGAGAGATTGCTTAATTATCGGATTTGATTGGATTGGAGAATTAAATTTAGGGATATTAGTTTTAGAAACTAAAAATTTTGAGCGGCAAAAAAATTTCAAAAGCTAATATGGTACGTCGGATCGAAATAATCTGAGACGTCAATAGTTTGAGACAGTTTGAAATATTGTCGGCCGTTGGATGATGCCTTTTTTGATCTCGAAATGATCTGAGCTGCTTTTTGTCTATTAAATTCAAAATCGTTCTACTTTATTATATAGATTTTAAAACCCGGTCCGGCTCGACAGGTCAACCCAGTGAACCGGTCCCCTAACTAGGCAAGTTTTAACAAAAGGCCGTTTATGTAAAGAACTCGGGATAAACCCATTGAATTGGTTAAAAATCGGTAAATCCCTGAGAACCAAACGAGTTTACCAAACTGGCTAGTTTAACTTTATTTGTATAAATGTGATATACTTTTCATCATTTGGGAATTTTTCCCTTTAGTTTTGCCCTAAATAGATCTACCAGACCAGACACCAATGACAACGACTGAGCACAACCTCCACCACCAACCAATGACTGAGCTCAACCTCTACCACCAACGACTGAGCACAGTCCAACTCTAGCCTCCACTAGCGAGCAGCAACGACCAGCGACTGTAGTTCAAACACTAACGACTTTTTGATTTTCAGACCAGACACTAGCGACCAGTGACCAGCGATTTCAAGACTAGACTCCAGCGAGCAATGATCCTCTTTTGAATCCAATCCAGTAGTTGCATCAATCTAAGCTGGTCTTGTTGTATCAATGCAGTCGACTCTAGCGATCCCCTTTTGAATCCAGTCCAATCAACTCCAACGATCCTCTCTCTCTATCTCTAGTTCAGTCAACTCTAGTTCATCACCAGTGAGTTTCCCTCCCTCTCTCTCCCCCCCCCCTTTTCTCTATCTCTTTCGCCCTTCAATCCATCATTTATAGTGGAGAGTGGATTGTAATTGCTTGGAGCTTTAACTTTAAGATCAGTTGTACTGAAAATTGTATTTACATTTTGCAGAGTTCTCTTTTATCTGCTCTTTTACTTTTATGAACATTATTATTTCATATTTGAGATTTTGTACTTGTAACTTATGGATTGTGGTATTGTACTTTTCATTTGTGTGTTTTATGTTTGTTAAAACTTGTGAACTTGTGGATTGCTTATTGCGGTAAGGGCATTATGAATTGTGGTATTGAACTTGTTGCTTGTTTGGGATTCTTATTGTTTATTATATATAATTGGGTTGTAGAATAGTTAATTGATAGTAATAGTAATATTTGTATTTTCAAGTGGAACTAGACAGTGCTTAAATAATTTATTTTTAGTTTTGTTTATTTGAGTCTTTATGCTATGCTCATGTACTTTATTTTGTTTTCATGTGTCTTTCTTACTACAGTTTGAGTTTGAACTTTAAACTTTGAAAAGTGCAAATTACATTGATTATGCTTAGATTGATGCATTGTCGAAGAGACTTGAAGCCTTGTACTTTAATAGAGATATTTTTCTCTACTTAACTTTACAAGTTGCATTGAAAATTGAATATATTGAAATTGGATACATGTTTGATGATTTTTCTCGACTTAACTTTACATGTTTGATGTTATTTTTATAATTATTCTGATTTTTTAGTCTATTTATTATTTATTTATTATTATTTTTTAATTTTTTATTATATTACCAGTCCAAATACCCATTGACCCGGTCCCTTCACCAGGTTGATGTCCCGCCCGGATTTTAAAACTATGTTATTTTGGCCCTCAATATTTCAATTACATTATTTTGATTCATGAACTATTGAATGTATTTCTATGTGGTGCCTCAAATAGACAACATTCAAATTTCTTACGATTTTTAATCATAAATTTATAAAGTGATATTTAAATATGGGCAAAAAATAATAAAAACTGCTACATAAACAAAATAAAACCCAAAAATTTAAATTTAAATGCATATTTTCCCTTGGATGAGTATGAGACGAGGGGTCTCATTGAAAAAGTTGATGGGACTCGCTCATTCAAAGATGATATGCATTTGGATTGTAACTTTTTAGGTTTAATTTTTTGCGCAAAAATAATTTGGGTAGATCTTGACCAAAATTTGGGTTGCTCTTGACTAAAAATGTATAATATGACTAGTTCTTGACAAAAATTTGGATAGCTCATAATCAAAACTATGAAATTTTAGTGGTTCTTTCACCAAAATTTGGGTAAAAATTTGGTCAAGAGTTATTCAAATTATTTTTTTTGCCCATATTTAAATATTACGTGAGAAATTTATGATAAAAAATTATTAACAATTTGAACATTATCTGCTTAAGGAACCACAAAATATATTCAATACTTAAGGAACTAAAATTATACAATTGAAATATTAAGGACAACCCTAAATTTTATTTCAATCATACTAAGACTTTTCACCACACCCAACCTATTGTTACACACATTAACAAATTGAAGTGGGAGTCCTAATCCACATTTTTATAGGCATCATGGTGTTTTACAGCTCATTGTTACACATATTAAAAAATGAAGTGGGAGTGCTCAAACTTTTTAAAAAAAAAAAACAAAAAGGTCATTTATTACTCCATTACTCTATTTCTCCCTTTCTCTCTCCATTACTCTCTCACTCTCCCTTCCATATTTTCTCTCTATCTATTTCTCTCTTTTCTCTCACATTGATAATTTATTTTTTTTAAATATGTAAATATTTGATTTAATTTTTTCATTTTTCTCCTCTATTTTCTCTCTCTCTCTCTTACTCCCCCTCCCCTTATTTCCTTATTCTCTCTCTCCTTATATTAACATTACAGCACCACAATTACACTAAGCAGTTACATCAATTAGTTACAATTACCATATAATATACCAAACAGTTACTCATGTGTTCTAATAAATCAAACAGTTACACTAAACAATTGTACGAACTTACAACACCAACCCAATTTATCATTCAGTTATTTACATAAATCAAATAGTTACATCATTTAGTATCATGACATGGTTACATCAATTATATACACTAAATTAGGTTTATCAATACACA